ATACATACATACATACATACATACATACATACATACATACATACATACATACATACATACATACATACATACATACATACATACATACATACATACATACATACATACATACATACATACATACATACATACATACATACATACATACATACATACATACATACATACATACATACATACATACATACATACATACATACATACATACATACATACATACATACATACATACATACATACATACATACATACATACATACATACATACATACATACATACATACATACATACATACATACATACATACACACATACATTCATACAAATAGATCATTTTTTATTTCATACTCAATTAGATGTTCATTAATCCTATCGATTTAGCTCTTGGCATCGTACATATGTTAATTTAAAATTTGCTTATATAATATGTAGAAACATACATATACACATACACACACATACATACATACATACACACACATACATACATACATACACACATACATACATACATACACACACATACACACAAGCCTATCATTTTTATTCATTACGATGAATGGTATGGCTATCGACGTTATTTCAACAATTTCTGTTGTTATTATTATTATTTTATTCTCATTATTATTATTATTATTATTATTTTATTCTCATCATTATTATTATTATTATTATTATTATGTTTGTTGTTGCTGTTATTGCATTCTAACCTGGCTAATTAGTTACGCATTCCCGCCAACAGAATTATAATATGCAAAAAAGATGTGTACATTTTCATTTTAATCGCTTTCCATTAGAAATGGTCATATCTGACTTTTAAAGAATAATAATAATAATAATAATAATAATAATAATAATAGCCATCAAATCATCCTGTAATTTTTTCAGGATTGTGAAGAAAAAGCAACCTCCGTATCACTGACTGCATTCAAACAAATTAACGAAATATCTGACAAAGATGGCTTCGCGGGGGATGATCAAAATAAGATGCCGGAAACGGAAAAAGAAGACCCGGAAAAAGAAAGGAAAAGATCAATAATAATGTGGCTGTTTGTGTGCAACGCTTGCGCTGTGGTCATCTCTTTCATGACACTGAGTATCTACACGAATGGAGTCATCCGTACAATTGAAAGGCGATTCAGTCTGAGCAGTTTTCAGACCGGCATGCTGAACAGCAGCAACGACATCATCCACATCTGCATCGTCGGATTCATTGGCTACTTTTCACGCAAGTATCACAAGCCGAGAATCATGTGTGCGACTGTCATGTTTTCCTCAATCGCTGGCTTCATGATGGCCTCTCCGCATTTCATTTCCTTCCGCGAAGATCATCAAACGCGCCTGCATCTTCTGAATGATAATAAAATGAAACGGTACGATGAATTATTCGCCAATATCGAGCCGACAACCGTGCCGGTTTATGCCGGCTTCTTTCCAAAATCGATTTCCAAAAATGATTCTTTTAAATTTGTTGCCAATCATGACGTGCCAAGATTTAAACCCAGCATTTCTGAGGAAATGATGAAAAAATACAAGCCAGGCGAAGTAGGCAAGTTCCTTCCAAAGAGTTTGAAATACTGCTCGAAAAGTCAAAACGTTTCAAACAGTCTATCCGATTCCAATTGTGCCAACACGCGCAGACATCCAGCTTTTTATATTTTTCTGGCAGCGCAGTTGATCAGTGGTATTGGTAGTTCGGGCATCTTCACTCTCACACTTGCCTACATTGATGAAAACGCTCCTAAGCACAGGGCTTCTCTTTTGATAGGTTTGGTTTAATAATTTTTAATCATAACCTTCAATAATGACTTTCATCAATAATTGTAATTTTCAATCGTAAATGAAGTGTTTTTTGAATTATTTGTGATGAAAATTTGTTTTGTTACTAAAGAATCTTTTGAAAAAATTGATCAGGAGTTTACATGGGAATGATATCGTTCGGGCCTGTGTTCGGCTTGGGATTGTCAACTCTCTGCTTGAAACTACCGGAAAATCTTTTTTCAAGTTTGAAAACTTTATCTAAAACTCTTTTCAAGATTTGAAAGATTGAAAAATGTTTTGACATAATTCAATTTTATTTTAAATTATGAAAAATTATTTTAAATTGAGCAGAAGAAATGATCGACCCGAACGACCCTACCTACATTGGGTGCTGGTGGCTCGGCTACCTCATCGCGGCCTCTCTGCTCGCCTTTTTTGCTGTATTCATGTGGTTCTTTCCGAAAAAAATTAACGAAGACAAAAATTCACCAGCTGATAATCCGGATTTCTCGAAACAAATCAAAGGTGATGAGTGTATTTTATATTTTCTTCTACTAATTTTAGTTTGTTAGTTTTGAAAATTTGTGATAAACTTAAATATATTAGAATTGATTAAATGAAGATTTGTCAGAAAATGATTTTGTAAGCTAAAAAATAATATTTAAAAAAAATAAAATCACAAACGCGCTTAGACTTTCCAAAAGCCCTGAAAAAGTTGGTAACAAACAAACTGTACATCCTAAACTTGTGCCAGATCATCTGCAACGCTTACACCATCTACGGCATGTACGTGAACCTCGTCAGGTACATTGAGACGCACTTCAACTACCCAGCTTACATAGGCAGTATTGTTGCAGGTCACTTACTCAGTATTATTGTTATGTATCATGATTATATTTATAATTATTTATTATCATTATTACAGTTAATGTTGAATTTATTTTTTGAGGCACTCTACCTAGATCCGATTTGATAAAGTGTGAGAACGTTTTGAATATATGAAAGCAGATATTAATTAAATATTAAATGTGCGTGTAAAATAACATATATTATAATATATTTTACTTCTATATTATATTATTACTACCATATAATTAATTAATTTATAATTTCACAAAGTAGCAAAACCCCCAAAAATACATTACAGGTGTGGTTTCGGCTGTAGTAGGCTCGGTGGGCGGATTTTTAGGTGGGGTCTTGACCTCGAGGTTGAGGTTAAAAATGGTAGGAGCCCTGAAAATGATCCTAACTTGCAGCGCACTCTTCATGTGCGGTATCACAATTCTATTGAACCTCAGCTGTCCCCAGGTCGATATGGATATGACGATTGGCAAGACAGTTGCTGAGTGAGTTATAAGTTTTGGTTATTTGCATTTTCAAACATTTTTTGGGCGTTTCTACTACAAACTTTCAACAACAAAAAAACCAGAAATCACGTGATAAATAGTTGTAATGTGGCTTGCGATTGCACAACACGTCGTAACGATTACTACCCTGTATGTTTCAACAACAGCATCAACTATTTCTCGCCCTGTATTGCTGGCTGCCAAGGACAAGCTAATGGGGTGATTTCTATATTATATTATCATATATATTTCATCATATTTTTATTTATTTATTTTGACCAAAACATTCCAGACATTCACAAGCTGCAAATGCTTAAGAAATTCTTTCCTTCATAACGAGACCAGTACAATTACGGATCCATTCTTCACTGGAACGACGAAACCTGGATACTGCATTCCCAAATGTGGCATGCTCATTCCATTTGCTGTTACGTTGTTTTTCATGTCCTTCATTTCCACTGTTACGAGAGTCCCAGGTGTCATGACAACTTTTAGGTTAATATTTCATTTTATTTAATATTTTATGATGAAAATTATGATAATACTTGCAAAGGTACGATAAAAATAACTATAATTATGAGATTTTAATATTATTGATAGAAATTCTGTTAAATATAATGTCGAATGAACGTCAAATTGTTTTATTCAGGCTGGTCGATGATGAAGAAAGACCATTTGCGCTGGGAATGAACTCTTTTGGCGTCAACCTTTTAGGTAAAACATCATTCATCAAAATGTCATCAAATTTTCACTAAAAGACACTAAAATATTTCCACAAATTAATATTTAAACTAAAATAATCAATATTTTCACGAAAAAGGCTTCATCCCAGCACCTCTGATTGTCGGCAAGTTGATTGATCACTGTTGCAAACTCTGGCAGGTTACGTGCAGCGTGACGGGTGCCTGTCTGCTCTTCGATACGTCCAGGTCATTATTATTCATAACTTATTTAATTATGATCATAATTTTTAAGGAATCACATAATAATATTAGCTGTTACAATATTTTTTAATTATTATTACCATTCAGGCTAAGAAAAACGTTATACGGATTTACTTTGGTAGTTGAAGTAATAAACTTCTCATTTTTTTTCGCACTCTTTATGTTCGTGAGGAAATTACCAATTGGACAGTTGGAATTAACGGAAAGGCGAGTAAACTTGGAAATGACAGTGACCAAAGAGAAGGACAGAGAGGATAAAAATTTGAATTCGGAAAACGTTCCTGGCGATGACGGTTTAAAATTTAACGAGAGCAAGGCCGAAAATGGCGAAGTTCTGTAGCCGACTCTGATGTGAATTTTTTCATTTGGATGTTCATTTACTTTTTCATTTGTTTGTAATTTAAGTTAAACTGCTTATATGTACCACTTTTAAATATTTTGTTGTCTTTTGATGTGATACGCACATATTTTATTTGTATAATTTTTTTTTCAAAGACCTACGCACACCTAAAAGGACTTTTAATCAGTCAGTTTTTTCCATTTAATTATTGTTGAATTTCAAGTGTTGAAACTTTAAATTTTTGCTTTTTTTGTATTTGATGACGTAACCATTAAACGGCGAACCGGAAATAAGGAAGATGACGTCAACATTTATTCGAATACTTGTATTACTACTATTGTTGTTGGGCACACACACACAAACACAGAGAGATATTTGCATACCTTCATTTATCACATATACATGAAAATGCAAAGAACATTTGAAGTTTAGAATCCGTATTAAACAAACATTAAATCCGTCTGAGAATTAATAAATACATAAACTACACGTATTTAAACCCAAAACAAAAAAGACATTTTTTTTTTATTAGCTTTATCATCAAGTCTAATGAGTAACGTTAAGAAGATTATTATTATGAAGATCATTGGCAAAATTCAAAAAGAATAGTAATTATTATCAATCAAACATATTATTATCGTCATCTCCTTTTCTTTTTACCTTTTTTGTTTGATTTAACCTTACTAGAAGTAGTAGTGGTGGCAGCAGATTTGACTGTATCAGAAGTGCTTAAAACTTTACTTCGCTCTCCATCTACATAATGCACGTCGGGTTTATAAATTTTTTTAAACAACTCCGAAACGTAATCAAAAGTTTTCAAATCATTTGCGAATAATTCCCGCAAAAATTCATCAATTCTGGTTAGTTCTGCCTCCAGATGATAATAAATATACATCAGCGTTGTCCCGTTATAAAATGACGCTAACGATGACGCCATAATCGGACGCTGAAGTAGCGCATTTATTTCCCATAAAGAGTGAAGGCAAGTTTGAAATTGCGCAAATCCGTGGAGATTCGATATTTCAAAATATTTCCGTCTACCTTTACTTGTTAGTAAGTAATCTGAAATGATTGTAACAATATTGTCGGCCGAACTTGACGCGTTAACGTCGGTATTTTGGATATTTTTCACGATTCCACAGGCGTAGAACGCTATTAGTAGTGACCAAACGTGGAATTTCGTTAAGTTAGGTTTGGCGTGAGTGGTGCAATAGATCAGCGTTGCTAGAAATAACTGCTCCGCTTCCGGATAATCCACAAACCACTTTTGACCTTCAGGAAATAAATCTAAAAAAATTAACTTTTTTTTATCAGCCGGCAGTTTATAAACGTCTTTCAGGACCGGTAGATCATCTCCATTTGAAAATTTCCATCTTGGTTTCGTTTTCATTTTGTCCAATCTCGAATAACCCCTTGTGAATTCAACAACTTCATGTTCGCCCTCTGGGCCACTTTTCAAAAGCAGTCCATATAAAAGTTCTCTAACTTTGGAGCTGCAAACATGTGATGATGGATCTGTCCTGTTTTCTATTTGAGGTTGCAAGAGAACTTTCTGAGAAACAAAAATATTTGCTAGTTTAGAATTGAGAGCTCCCTGATTGAAATGCATTTTAAAGCAGACAGGTGCACTTTCATTATGATTGTTGATCAATTTACCTGTATCTACTTTAGAAAAATTATCTTCAGATGTGAAGACCTCATCATAGTCGTTGAAGATAACATGTATGTAGCAGTTTGTGATGCTGTATTTTTCAATTGATTTATTTATCAAAGCTCTAATCCTGTTTTCTTCATCTGTGTTGCAGTTGAGTTCGAACATAATGTCTCTGATGGCTGCTTTAATGTTTCGTTTCAGTGCAAACCACTTGAAGAGGCCGAATATTTTTCGTCGATCGTTGGGGATCTGATTGAGTTTGATGCCCGGGACATGACTGAAGTAATTTAACTTTCTGAAAAATTGTTCGAATGTGGAACCAGGTATGTACTCGTTTCCCATGACTGTGGCAAACAGATGAATCAATGAATGATCGTGAATCCCCATAACTTTTTTCAACTTTTCAGCACTGTACATTTGAACATCCATATAAAAAGCGCCATCTTCATCAGTTTTGATGGCCATATTCAAATAATCCAACAGTATAACGCCACCTGGCAAATCGAAAATGAAGAAATCGCTGTCATTCGTTAGGACTGGACATTTCCACTCAGCGGCCAGTGAAGCGATCTGATCATCGGCTTCATAATTGCAGGTGACGTGCTTTATCAACAATTCGTCTAAGATTTCTTTGAAAATTTCCTGAGTTAATAAGGGCACAACAAACGCACAGCCATCTTTTGTGTTATTCAGTGAAGCTGTCACTTTTTTGGCGGCTCTCAAACGGGAACTGTTGAACTTCTTGCCGTCTAGATCGTAGGCTCCGTCAAAAACAACGTAGGGAAGGACTAAACATTTTGTTAAAGATAGAAAAAACTGTCGACAGGTATCGGCGAAAATCGTGTAATCGCCGCCGTAGTGGTATGGTATTTGGTATAAATTGTACAAAAAATGCAACAGATTGTTTCCGTCGACAATTATTTTAGTACTTTTTAATCTGAAATCGAGAAAAATGTGGGTGTTGCTATCCAAGTACGTGGTGAAACCTGGAACACCCATGTTGAACTAGTGTCTTTAATATCGTATCTGTTTACATAGAAAAATTTAATACTAATTTTCAACAGAATCTTACATTTAATGATTTCTGAACATTTTGATTTAACTTATATTTTTATTATTACATATTTATTTATAAAATATAAAAATTAATAATAAAAGTGAAATAAAACGAGAAAAAATATCAATGCAACAATTTTGTCAATCTATGACTCTAGTTGCCGTCTTCTTGTGTTTGTATTTTTTGGCAACTAGATGTTATAATTTCCTCGTTAAAATTGTTCTTAAAAATCGTTTTTTTCACTAATTTAATTGAAAAACCACCATTCCAGGTAAGTTAGTGCATTTGTTTCTTTCAAATTTTTTCAATTAATTCCCTAATTTAAAAATTTTCGCCCCAAAACGTGCCGTATAGTTTTGTGATTTGTCGCTCGCTTGGGAATGCAGTAAAATGTGGTTTTTATGTTGAAAGTCAGTTTTTTGGTTTTCGTTGTTTGATTGGCAGGTGCAAAGTTAAAAAAAATTGACGAGGAAATTTACGCCGGCCGACATTATTTGCGCGATTTGATTGCAAAACACTACTAGGAATGAAATTTAGAAAATGAAATTGGTAATTGTGGTGGTTGCTGGTTGTATGACTTTCCCCATCACCATAACTATAACATCATACAGCATTAAATTAGTAGACTATTATTAATTATTAGCATAATTAACATAATTAAAATGGTAGATTAAAAGTAAATTTATTTGTTAAAAACTTAAAATATGAAATATTTTACACCCACACAGCTTGCACGTTTAAATGGTAATTTAGTTAACTCCTAATGAGAAAAGATGTCCAATCAAAATCAAAGTGTTCGCAGTGCCAGCACCAACTCCAACAACAGTAGCTGCACAATTAGCAACGTCAACATTGTCAGTAATAGTAGTAGTAGTGGTAATAACACTAATCCTAATTCTAACAACATGAACAACAGCAGCGTTAAAGATGTTACTAAAGTTCGACTGCACGTTTCAAATATTCCATATGATCTTAGGTGGCAAGATTTGAAGGACCTTTTCAAAGATAAAGGTCTCCTTTGTGTTTTTAATTGCATGTGTTGGCTTCATGTGTGTTTATGTGTCTGTATGTTTTAGTGTTTGTGATTATTTTTGTGTTTTGAGTGTGTTTATTTGTGAATGTCTTTGGGATGTGATTTCATTATAGAGATGTGCTAAAAATAACGACATGATTTCAGAGATGAGCTAATCAGTCAATTAATGAATAATAATAATTTAATTTTAGCTGATTGTTTCATTATTATTCGATAAAGAGTTAAATTTATTTATTCTTTTTTATTAAAATAGTTGGCTCAGATGTGTGTTATGTTGAAATTTACGAGGGAATCGACGGCAAAAGTACTGGGGCTGGGTGAGGAAAAATTATTTATCATAATCAACTTTTATATCTATTATTCTGATCAAAATTTACTTTTAAACTTGCTTTTAAACTTCACCATTTATTTCTAATGATTCCAGTTTTTAAAACAAGATAAGTAATAATAATCACATTTTTATATATTCTTGTTCTTTTAATTTTATAAATGTGTATTTTTAATAATTTTTCTGATAAAATTGTTATTATTACTGTTTTCTTCTTATTATTATTAAAGGAAGGAATATAAATTATAATCGAAGGGTGATTGAGATTAAAGGTAGAGAGCTGGCAGATCGAGCTATAGAACTGTTGCACAAAACTGAATTGAAAAATCGACAGATTATCGTCAGAGAGGTAAAATCTTTATCATTATTAATATAATCATAAGCAATTTTACATATTTAACTAGATATCCAAAAATGGAATCACTAATCACTAACTAATTAATAAACAAATAAGGAAAAGGAAAAAGACAGGCTACAGTATGGGAAGCTGCAGAATCCATCAAGTTCCATGAACCATGACCACATGAACGGCGTTATGGGCGGCACTGCTGTTGGTGGAGCCATTAATAATGCTACCAACTCCATCAGTCTTGGCCTACAGCTTCTATATCAGCTGGGCATCGATACTGAGAATATTACCAACCAGATCTTCATTGCCAACGTTAGCCTTTTTTGTTTCTATTTATAATTTTTGGTTGATGATCGGCAACAATCATGAAATGCCGTTAATAATGTCTCCGCAACAGCTGGACTACAATGTGACGGCGAAGAAACTGAAGGATGTGTTTATAATGGCAGGCAGTATCTTGCAGGTCGACTTGAAAGTCGACAAGGAGGGCTCCAGTAGAGGAATGGCTACCATTCGATATGAGAGTCCCATTGAGGCTGTTCAGGCCATCAGTTAGATCTTTTTTACTTTTTTTTAGTTTAGCAACTATTAGCCAAGCTCTTTTTTTGCTTTTTAGTTCAACAAAGCAAAAATTTTTACCTTATCCATCACAATGTGGCAACATTTCAACAACAAATCCGACAATTGATCAGTAAAATAATGCAGCCTGTAATAACTTAGCAATATTTTTAACTGGCCAATCATATTCCAGCATCATTTTACACCTATCAATCACTTTGTGGCATCATTTTACACCTACCAATCACTTTGTAGTATCATTTTAAACTTACCAATCACTCTGTAGCGTTATTGTAAACTGAGTAATCACATCACTGCACAGCAATGTTTAATGGACAGTACCTGTACGAACGACTAATGAACGTACGAATGGACAAGATGTCTGAATCCTCCCCGCAATTCATCCCTAACATTCTCCCTGCCGGATTAAAAGGAGTGGGTATCGGGCTGGGTGTTGGAGGTCAACCTCTGCTCAATGTTGGCCACATTGCTAGTAAGAGGTTTTGCAATTTTTGAAAGAAAAAGGGGGACTATTTAGTGCTTTTAACAATTTAATTTTTTTGTCTAATCAATTTTTTTGTCCATTAACACGTTTGTCTTTTACGAATTCATTCATTCATTTATTCGTTTATTTTTCATTCCTTCATTCAGATGCCATGGTTCTAAGCCAGCTAATTAGCCTTACAGCATCTGGTAAATTGTTTAGTGAGAGTCTGAGTTTGCGCATGTGATGAGTGCGTGAGTCTACGTTTGTGTGTGTGCGTGCGTGCGTGTGTTTGTGTGATATTCATTACAGTTATCTCTTCATATTCAATATTCAATATTCAAACTTCCTGGTCTGGCGGATCGGTATAGAATTTGATAGGCATGACTAAAACCGCCACCTGATTAAAATGTGCAAGAACTTGTGTACACGCACAATTTTTTCTAAATAAAATAATAAACATGCTTCAGCATTTTGAAGTGAAACTTGTTAAGTGCGACGAATGAGCTTGCCTATTTTCTACCAAATCCTCATGCAATTAGTTTCTGCATCTCATCTTTTTTCACGGCAGCACTCTCATAGGTGGAAGGTAATAGGTGAAGAATTTTTATTGCTCAGTCTGATCACGTTGAGGCACTACCTTACTAGCATAATTAAGTCTGATTGGTCAGCTTTCTCTCACAGGTCCGTAACATTTAATTCGTGTGCTAGATAGGGTCTCGCTGATTCATTTTCTTCATTTTTGGCAGCCCAGCGCGGGACATCACCGTGCTGTATTCATGTAATATTCCTCTTATGAGCCATCCATCCATCATTCATTCTTCCATCCATTCAAAGCATAACAAAGAACATTTCAAGAGCCACAAAGAGACAAGCATAACCCTAACCCCAACCAACCAATCAAATTCAGGTGGTTTCCTGAACGCCAGCCCCCTCCAGCCGTCATCAGCAGGCAACTCGTTAGCAGTGGTAGCAGCAGCGGCCACACAGCAATCGGCCACTAACAACAACCACCACAACTACAACAGCTACCCGCGCAACAGCAACATTGGCGGTCCGCTTTCATCCATGTGCCCGCTGCCCCCGTCCTCGAGAAACTTCAACCCCTTACAGCAACAAAACCCCGGTGCCTTGCTCTCAAATATTGCCCAATCAGGTGTCAGCATGGATGCCGGAAGTGGCGGCAGTGGCTTCAACATCCTGAATGAGTTGAGGTCGTACAACTGGCCGAATCCTAATTTTGGATTTGCGAATCCACGCCTGCCTAACTCCTATCACAATGGGGGCTACTACTCCCATAATTCTCCTCATCATCTTCCTCATCATCTTCCTCACCATCATCATCAGCAGCAGATGTACGCTGGTGGTGGTGGTGGAATGGCTAGGCAGCATGGAGATGGAACTACTGTTATTGTTAAAAATGTTTGTTGCTTTTTTTATCTTTTTCGCCATCTTTGTTGTTTTGTTTTTACGTTCATTCGTTCGTTTGTTTGTTCGTTCGTTCGTTTGTTCGTTCGTTTGTTTGTGTGTTTTGATTTATTTATAGGAATGTTTTTTGTTCGTCTCATTGATATTTTTTTCTATGTTTATGTAAATTTGTGTTTCATTCTATCTGTATAATTTTTATTTAAATATTTTTGGAGGGTTTTTATCTTTATCTTATTTTCATTTATTAATTCATTCATGCATTCATTCATTCATTCCTTTATGCATGCATTCGTACAGTTACCATACAGTACAACATGGCAACACTTGAAAGATAGATTCAAGGAAGCAGGTACAGGATGAATGAATGACTGAATAAATAAATAGATGAATGAATAAATGAATGAATGAATAAATGATTGCCAATCAATCAATCATTCAACTAACCAATCAACCAAGCAATCAATCACTCAGTTAAGAAGTAAGGCAATTGATTCATCAAACAACAATACAACAGGCGACATACAGTACGTTGACATTAAGATGGAGAATGGCAAGTCTAAAGGAATTGGCTCTGTTAGGTTCAGTAATGCTGATACTGCCAGAAGAGCTGTTTGTAAGTTTTTAAACTTTCTTTCATTTATTCGTTCGTTCATTCATTCATTCGTTTATTCAGTCGTTTATTCATTCATTCGTTCGTTCTTTCGTTTGTTTGTCCATTAATTCGTTATATATTCATTAATCAATTCGCTTAATTAATAATTTATCAAACGCTTATGTATTCGTTCGTTAATTAATTAATTAATTCATTCATTCATTCATTAATTTATACATTCTTTCAGTTCAGTTAATTAATTGAATTTTAATTAAACAAACACCATATTATATACAGCAATTTTGAATGGCACAAAGATAGATGGCAGACAAATTGAAGTGAAATTCGAACTTTAATATCATCACCATCATCATTATCATCATCACCATCATCATCAATATCATTACCATCATCATCATTATCACCACCATCAGTAACAACAACAATATCAATAACAACAACAACAACATCGGTGTCTTCAACAACACCATCATCACCATCTTCAATAGTAATAATAATAATGATGATGACATCATCATCAGCAGCAAAACAACAACAACTACTACTACTTTACATAAATAACCATAATTTTATATTTATTGTACATCTTTGATATATTTTTTATACATAAATATGTACATGAATATCGAAGTAACAATTTTTTTAATTCCTCCTATTTTGCCTCTTTTCCTCTCTTTCCATCCATATATTCATCTATCTAGCTATATGTCTGTATATCTATCTTTTTCTTTATCTTTTGGTTTTTCTCTCTCTCTTTTTTCTCTCTCTTTCTCTCTTTCATGCCTCGTGTTTCATTTTTATTTTCTTTCTTTCTTTATATGTATCTCTCTCTCTCTCTCTCTCTCTCTCTCTCTTTCTCTCTCTCTCTCATTTTAATGTGTCTTTTTTCAATGCTACTGTCGTTGGTGACTGTTTGTTGTTGCTAATGTCGTCGTTATTGTTGTTTTTATTATCGAATGAATATCGGTGGGGCGACGCTGGATTATTATTTTGGTAGTTCATATTATTATTATTATTATTATTTTTATTATTATTATTATTATTATGCTGTCTGTGGTTATTATTCTTGTTGTGATTATCATTTTGCCATTCGTCTCCAATTCATCTCATACTTGTAAGTAATGTGAGGTCGTTTCGACGATTAGCATTGCCGTTATTATGATCATCATCATTAATTTTTATTAAACTTCATTTTATTTGTCATTTCTTATTATTTTGAATTTTATTTTGTCGATTGAATATATAAAATATGTTAAAATATGTAAATTTTAATTCATTAGCAATTTTTTTTAACGTGTGATTTATGATGAAAATAAAATGATGTTCCCATTATTATTATTATTATTATTATTATTATTATTATTATTATTGTCGTTATTATTATTATTGCTGCTAAGACTGCAACTGTTGTTTTTATTATTGTTATTATTATTTTGTTGCTATTCAGTAGTATAGATCGTTGGTTTTCATCATAAACAACAAACATTAGAGACCTTCTTTTTATTAACTAATGAATGATTCTTTTTACGTTATTGCTTAACTTGGTGATTTTGTGTATATATATACGCGTATTTGTATTTTAACCCCGTGAAATGCTTTTCTTCTTCTTATTATTATTGTTGTTTATTATTATTATTATTATTTTCCCTCTTAATGTTGCTGCTATTGTGGCCCTATTCGAAGCTTTTTTATTTTGTTTTTTCTCTGATTTTAAACGGAGTCTGGTTGGCCCTGGTTAGCGTTTTATTCGTTTTCTGATTTGAATTTTTCTGAATTAAATAGTTTTAAGTAATTAAGTGATTTTGATTGGATAATATATTGATTGAATAATTGATTGATCGATTGATTGATTGATTGGATGGATAAATTAATTGATTGATTGACTGACCGATTAAAAAACTTTTCTTTCTAATATTCGTTGAGGTGTTTTTGTGTCGATAGTTTTAATCAGTTCAATAGTTTTCTATAATGATCATTCATTTTTTTATCGATCGATAAATCAATCGATCGATTGATTGATTCACTGATTTATTGATTGGTTAGTTTTTAAATATAGAAGTTTCATTCACTCATTCATTCTTCTCATATCTTGTAGTAACAACCAGCGTTTGGGGAAGTGAAAAAAATTAAAGGAATTAGTTTGAAAAATGTAATTAAATAATTAAATTTATATAGTAAAACTTTTATTTATATTAGGTTTTTTTTAAGCTTTTTGATTGATTGATTGATTGAATGAATGGGACGAGACGTTGGTAACATTTTTTTATTCATTTTTTTCATTCTTCTTTAATTCTCATCCTTCTATCTTTGAATAATAATATTGATAATATTTGGAAGTTTCGATTTAATTTTAAATTGACCTTTGGATTCTGATTCTGTTGTTTCTTTGTTCTTTTTACATGATTCTATGCTTATTTCCGTTTCACTTCACTAATTAATTTCTATTGATATATTATCGAATTTAATGGAATTTTTTTTTAAATAAAAATGTTTATTTTTATTCATGTTTTTTGAGCTTACCATATTAATATGACATCATTGTCAAAAATAGTAATAATAATAACATGGTGTAGTAATATCAATAATATTTTAATAATAATATATTTAATTATTATATGGTGGCCAAAGATAAATATGCAAAACTATCTATATACATATATATAGTTTATATATATATAGTTTATATATACATAGTTTATGTGTGTATATATATATATATATATATAATATATATATATATATATATATATATATATATATATATATGCTGGTAAAAGACCATAATCAATGCGTTAGTTTATGAAATTTACCGAATTTCTAGCTTTGGATAGTTTTCTTATTACATTTATCAATATTTCTAACCAAATTTCTGTCAAATTCTGAGAACAGTAAATGCTAATCACAGGGACAGAGATCAATACAAATGTCCTATATAAAGTGCAACAAGTGATGAAGTTGATTGAAGAATCGAAATTGGTCCTACATACTCGAGAATGAATTGAAAAACTGAATATTATTCTAACTTTAATAAAACGAATAGTGACGACAAGAATTTGGTTAGAAATATTGAGAAGTGTAACAAAAAAACTATCCAACGCTAAGAATTCGATAGATTTCATAAATTACTGCAAATATACATACATATATATATATATGCATGTATTATATGTAGGCATATAGTAGTTTCTTATATTATCGCCTATCATCAACTGTTCTTTAGCTAATTTTTTTTATCTTTGGGACTGTTAATGAATTACTTGAATTATTGTTGTTATTGTTGTTATTATTACTATTATTGTTGTTGTTTTTGGTGGTTCTAATAGAAAAAAACATGTAAAACACTTTTTGGTGTATGTTTATTATACATTTATTTTAAATAAACAATTTCTTTCTCGTGCTTTTTCCTTTCAGGACATTGGCGACCATCGACCACCGCAAAACCCGATCTTTAACACTTTGTAGTAGTTGAAATGTGGTGATATTCAACAGGTGACACAAAGACTTCACGAATGTGATTCATTGTTGATCGCGATTTCTTTTCCCTGCAATCTTTTCATTAGTTAAGATTTTCCATTCTTTCCTTCCGCATGATGTGACCAAAAAACTTCAACTGCCCCTTTATCTGTAGTAATTTCCTCTTTTCATAACCGGACTGTTTTAATACATCCTCACTCGAAGTATGAGAGGTCCAACTAATTTTCAATTAATTCTTCTCAAAAACCACATCTCAGCAGCGTTAATCTTTTTTTCCATTTCTTTATAAATTGTCCAGGAGCCGTAAGCTAGCTCAGAGAAAAATGTAACACTCTAACAGTTTTAATTTAGTTGATATTCTGATTTTACCGTTGGTGAGGATGTTTTTCATTTCAGCATAAGCACCTTTCGCCATAGCCATCCTTCTTTTGATAACCATATCACATATATCCCTCTTCTGATATCCATAAGCGTACAGAAAAACTTTAATGTATGACATTAAAGACTTTCTTATATATGTATGTATATATAATATATATATATATAAACGTGTGTGTGTGTGTACATATATGTACGTGCATGTTTGTACAGCCACCTTTTAGCGCATGCAAATGCGAATGGATGGACGTAATTTTTCTTGCATTGCGTTTGACGCATTCAATTTCGTTTTTAAGTAGAGTTCGTTTGTTTGTTCGTTTGTTCGTTCGTTTGTTAGTTCACTATTTAGTTTTATGGTAATGTTTTTTCAGAAAGTTCAATGCAAAAAATACCTTTCTACGTTAGTTGTATTAATGATGAATTAATAATAAATGAATGAACAAATACCTTAAATATATCAAAATATTAATAACTATAATATATAGCAGTAGGTTTTGAACGCACGTTTCATTGGAATTTCTGGTAGATGATCAGGTCTTCAAGCAATCATAAAAGATGACTTGAAAATATCAGGACCAGATTGTTAAAATTAGATCAGGAGAGGTCAAATTTCATTTTAATTGGGTCAGAAGAGTTGAAAATTCATTTGAATTGGGCCAGGAAAGGTTAAAGTTCATTTTAAATTTGGTCAAGATCGGCTGAAAGCTTTGACATCATGGCGATAACTTATTATGCTACAGGTTAGAAATTTTTTTCTCAGTGCTTTTATTAACCTCCTCCTCCTCCTCATCATCATCATCATCGTCGTCATCTTTGTCATAATAATAATAATAATCAACATTACCATCGTCATCATCGTCGTCGTCATCATCACATTCACTCACTGACACTTTGAATACGTAGATTCTTCATAATTACATTTTTATTACGCGCGTTACTCTAGCCAATCTCGCTCGCCCGCGATGCGTTTTTCATAATAAAAAATAATAATAATAACGTTATTATTATTATTATTATTAATGTTATTGTCGTTGTTTTTGTTGTTGTTTTTGTTGTTGTTGTTGTTGGTCGTAGCAATCACTTTTACGATCCTAATCAAACGTGACGTGCTTAAATAGGTGGGGACGCTAATGACGATCATGATGACGATTGTTGTTATTATTATTATCATTATTATTTTTATTAATATTGATGTTATTGCTGCTTTGTTAATGTTTTTCTTGTTATTATTATTTTTACCTCAACGATGTTGATATGGTGATGCTGAGTGCCATGACTACGGTGATGACGATGATGATGACGACTAAGATGATGACGATAATGTGGAAAAAGATGGCGATAATAAGAAAGAAGATGGCGATAATAAGGAGGATAAAATGAGGATGATGATGAGCGTAAAGAGTGTAGAGAACAGAGAGTTATATATAATACAACTTTTCAATGGTTTTGTAAATATTTGCCCTGACGTGGAACGATGATGTATATGAGGAAGTGGGATTAGTTGTCTATGTTTGCTTATCTTTGTTTGCACAGTTCCATGTTTGCTTATATCTATTTTTACACATATCTATGTTTGCGTATATCAATGTTTGTATTTCTATATTGTTTTTGTTTGTCTGTTTGCCTATTCGTTTCTTTGCTCTTTGTTTGCCTACTGGTTTAATTGTTACTCGAATGTGCACATGTTTTAATTAGGTCTCTCTCTCTCTCTCTCTTTTCTTTCTGGCATCTTTTCCATCTTTCTTTCTCTTTCTCTCATTCATTCATTCATTCATTCATTCATTCATTCATTCATTCATTCATTCATTCATTCGTTCGTTCGTTCGTTCGTTCGTTCATTCATTCATTCATTTTCTACTCCCAATCCCCTCTGGAAAGCAAGCAAACAAAGAAAAAAATGTGGGGAAGAGAATTATTTATCGCTCAAAAAATACTTTTCAACGTCGAATTGTTTTTTCTATGTATGTTTGTGTAAGTATGCATGCTTGCATGTTTGTATGTATGTATGTATGTATGTATGTATGTATGTATGTATGTATGTATGTATGTATGTATGTATGTATGTATTTTCAAGAGCATCATTTCAATTACGAGCAAGTTAGTCAAAGGTATAAGTCAATAAAAAGCAATATTATACTATTTTTATACTGTTGCATACACACACACACACACACACGCACATACACACACACACACGCACACATTTAGAAACATAAAATAAAGAACATAAAAAGCTCAAGTAACTCATCTACGGTCATATATTATCGTCTCTCCATGGAAAAACGAAAGGTGTATAACTCCCGGTTAAGTTTTTTTTAGTTTATTTTTAGTTTTTTGTTTATGTTTTTTGTATTTTTCTCTTTTCTTACGTCATTATTTATAATCCTTCGAGCTGTTTTTAGTGTGTTTATTTTGTAAAAAAAAATTGGTATATATGTGTGAGTGTGTGTGAATGTGTGTGTGTGTGTGTGTGTGTGTGTGTGTGTATGAATGTGTGTGTGTATATGTACGTATGCATGCATGCAGGCATGTATGTGAATGTATATTTGACTTATATTTATTATTTATGGCAAAACGTTGTCTAAGGCGTATTTTTTGATTCATCATCATTTCTCTGGTTTTTTTTTATTAAACTTTCATCATCATTTTCATCACCGTGACATCATCCCTACCATCATCATCATTATTGCCCCCATCATCGTCATCATCTTCCTCTTCATCATCATCATCATCGTCATCATCATTATCACCACCACAGTTTCATTCCTTCTATTCCTGCTTCTTCTCCATCTTCATCGTCTTCATCACGTGCGAGCTCTCTCCATCAGCGCTCCGAGTCATTACATCATTTACTCAGGGAATCTAGTAGTTACGTACTCACTCGATGGCTACGATGACGTCATCCTTAACAACAACAACAACAACAATAATAATAATACTAATAATGATGAAGATAATAATAATAATAATAATAACAATAACAGCTACTCGGACAATCGTAAAAATAAGACAATTTTTGACGTTATTGATGAGGTGAATTCAGTTAATGGCAGGAATGCGATTTTTTCATCATCAACAACATCATCACCATTATCATCATCATCAACAACAGCAACAACAAAATCATCATCGTCAACAAGAACAACATCGTCATCATCAACAACAGCATCGTCGTCAAAATCCGTCAAAGAAAATCAAAGCAACACGTACAGCTCTAATGCTGAAACCATGTTGATTCTAATGCGCCTGAAGTACAACAACATCAACAACAACAAAAACATCAACAACAAAAAAATCAACAACAACATCATCAACAACAACATCGACAACAACAAAAACATCACGAACAAAAACAACAACATCAACAACAACAACAAAAACATCAACAACAAAAACAACAATAACGAAATAATACTACAGACGCGCCTCCCGCGAAACATAACATCAAGCGAGTTGACAATATCTTGCGGCGTTGTAAACAAACCAGGTCTATACCTACTAAAAATCTACACCGGAAACGGAAATGAACTTGCCGGAAGTGACGTAATAGAGGTCACGTGGCCTGTTATAGATTTAACACTTCCGGTAAAATCGCCTGCTCTCTCTGGGCCCGTGACCTTGAGAGTTAGAAGCCGGAGAACCGATTTTGGCTGCTACGATGATCACAAAAAAATTTTTAACGGAAACTCGACCAGATCTCGTAGATACGAGTTGCGCTTGTTTAGGAAAAGTTATAACCCAACATCATCATCATCAACGACGTCTTCAATACTTACATCATCATCATCACCACCGTCATCATCATTATCAGGAAGTTATGGTGATGATGATGATGATGGTGGTGATGATGATGGTGGTGATGATGATGATGATGATGTCCTGCTAGTCCACAGCATCCGTTTCAACTCTATAGGACAACTCTTACGGAGCAAGAAAAAATTTTCAGAAGACGACGACGACGATGGTGACGATAATAATAATAATAACGATGATGATGATGATGATGACGTCAAAAAATTTCAATTTCCTTGTGAGGTGTTCGACCGCAGGGCATTTTATCAAATTGCTCTAGTCAGATGTGACGATGACGACGACGATGATGATGATGATGGTAGTAGTGATAATACTGATAACGATAGTAGCAATGCAGATGATGATGATGATGATGATGATAAGAATGATGGAGAGATGAGAGGGAGAAGAAAGAATGTCTGCAATTGCGATGTTAAGAATGGCTGTTCCTTGCTGAAAAATGCCCTGTTCAATCATCAGGGCTACCGTTTTAATGGGAATAAAAGAAATAATAATTACAATGATAACAAAATTATGACGTCATTGATGGCGGCCAGTGACGTCATGGCCGTCAACTTCCGGCAAGACGTGTACAGGGTCAGCCTGGACAGGAATCACGTGTTTCCGTGTGAGAAGAGTATCAGCGTGAGGTGAGTTGTGATGGTGATGATAATGATGATGATGATGATGATGATGTTACTGTTGTTTGTGAAGTTAGTGGGAAATAAAATCATTTGAAAAGAATGAGTTTGAATGGTGTAAGCGTCATTATTATCATCATCACCACCATCGACATCATCATCATCACCAATCAGATTTACGTCATCATCATGCCGAAACTCTTCTGACGTCATCAGGGCTTACAACGTCAATGACACTGAAACTTTGACGTTCGTGGCCGAGCGGAAACCCGCAAAAACCACCGGAAGTAGCGTGACTTTTGAATGTTTTAAATTTTCAACTTCCGGTCACGTGGCCAGCTGTTTCCGGTACGTCAGCATGACGACTTCCGGATCCGTAGTAGAGCATCCCATAGTTTGTCTCGCTATGACAAAGGAACAAAGTGGGTTGTTATAATTTTCATGGTAATTATAATAATAATTATTATTATTATTATAATTTTCATAGTAATTATAATGATAATTATTATTTTTATTGTTGTGGTAGTTGTTCTTATTATTATTATTAATGTTATTATTCTGTTGTTTTGTTGTTGTTGTTTCAACGCGCGCTTGAATTGGTTTGAAAAAAATTAGCCAACCAATCAAAAATAGCCATTCAACTAGCCAATCAAAACCAGCAAATAAACCAACCAACCAACCAATCAACCAACTAACCAACCAACCAACCAACTCATTAATCAACTAATCAACCAACGAACCAACCAACTAATCAACCAACGAACCAATCAATAAACCAACTCATCAACCAACCAACCAACTCATCAACCAACCAACCAACCAACTCATCAACCAACCAACCAACTCATCAACCAACCAACCAACCAACTGGCCAAGCACACTTTTGATTTGTTGTTGACAAGATGAATTGTCAGCCGACCGCGTGGAGAGCTTCCTGCCGTGTGCTGATAAGAAACCATGCAGGCCTTTGTATGTATGTATTCTCGATGTAGTATCCAATAGAAAGATGGATGGATGGTTGGATGGTTGGATGAATGAATAAAAAGTGAATGAATGAATGAGTGAATGGGTGAATGAATGAATGAAGAATTCAAATCCGAATCAAAAGAAAGATATTTTACGAAAAAATAAAATTTAAATTTGAAAAATTGACGACAACATTATAATTGTTATTATAGTAGTTTATGGATGTATGTATGTATGTATGTATGTATGTATGTATGTATGTATGTATGTATGTAATGTATGTATGTATGTATGTATGTATGTATGTAATGTATGTATGTATGTATGTATGTATGTATGTATGTATGTATGTATGTATGTATGTATGTATGTATGTATGTATGTATGTGTGTGTGTGTGTGTGTGTGTGTGTGTGTGTGTGTGTGTGTGTGTGTGTGTGTGTGTGTGTGTGTGTGTGTGTGTGTGTGTGTGTACGTACGTATGGATGCATTAGCTTTCTGCACGCAAGCCTATTTTTCAGTATGGCCTAAGTGACTTCAAAAATGGCGGTCAGTAATTTGTGACGTCATGAAGTCTCGCCGTGACGATGTCGTCGTGACGTCATAATGATGAGGCGCTGAATTTTTAAATAGAAGGAGGAGGTTTTGATATAGTATAGTAGCAGATCTCTTTTTCCCCTTTAATTAGCCGGTCTATGAATATTCTTTTTATGTTCTAATTCTTCTTGTTATTGTAACCATTACCATCATAGTCGTCGTCATCATCATCTTCTTCTTCTTCGTCATCATCATCATCATTTTCTTCTTCTTCATCATCATCATTTTTAATATCAGTCATGGGTGTTGATCAACTAATGCAGACCTTCTCATTCTTTTACAATCCCATGTTCTCCAATTTCGAAAAAATGTTTAGTATAAAAGTTTTTTTTGTATTTATACAAAACATACAGAGTACACTAACTTATAATACAATTGTATGTTTGTGCAAATATACACACATACGTTCAAATAAACACAGCATACAGCATACAGTTCAAATAAACACTTCAGCATACATACATGCATGCATACATACGTGCATACATACATACATACATACATACATACATACATACATACATACATACATACATACATACATACATACATACATACATACATACATACATACACACACACATACATACATACATGCATAGATATAAAATTTTCGCTTCTTCTTTGCTTTCAAATTTTACAGCCGTCGTACGTGCTCCTTCCATAAAGCGGAAAGGGAAGCAGAAAATTCAGTTTCTTTGGTAACGTTGATTCTCCGTTATTTCTGGCTTTTGTTGATGTTGACGTTAATGTTGTTGTACGCATAAAAGTACTGATGATGATGGCGATGATAAGGATGATGATGATTATGACAAAGATGATGGTGGTGATGAAGATGAAGATTACCATGATAATGATGATGACGACGACGACATTGATGATGATAACGATCATGGCCCAGATAAAAATATTTTTTTATATTTCGTTTTCCTGGAAACTAGAATCTAGATAAATAGCCATCATTTGTCGATGCATACATTAGCGTAATGAATGAACGAACGAACGAATGAACGAATGAATGAATGAATGAATGAATGATTGAATGAATGAATAAATAAATGAATGAATGAATGAATGAATGAATGAATGAATGAATGAATGAATGAATGAATGAACGAACGAACGAACGATTGAATGAATGAATGAATGATTGAATGAATGAATGAATGAATGAATGAATGAATGAATGAATGAATGAATGAATGAATGAATGAATGAACGAACGAACGAACGAACGAACGAACGAATGAATGAATGAATGAATGAATGAATGAATGAACGAACGAATAAATGGATGATTGATTGATCAAAGAAAAATTGAATGAATGAACGACTGAATAAACAAATAAATTGATGAATAAATGTATGGAAGAAAAAAATATGTGATTGATTAATTTATAATACTGTTGATTTTACAAAAAATAGAATGGGAATGATTGATAGATTGAATGAATGAATGATTGATTGGTTGATTGATTGATTAATTGATTGGTTAAATAAGGATGTTTTTGAATGATTGCGTGAATGAATAATAATATGAATAAAAGAACGAATGAACGAACGAACAAAATTGTGAATTAGTTAGTATGTGATAAACTGAATGAATGAATGAATGAAAATGAAAGAATCCACACAAAAATGAAAGAATGAACAAACCAGTGAGTGAAAGAATGAATGAATGGATGGGTGGATAGATTGTTGAGTGAATGAACAGACAAAAAAAGGATGAATAAAATGATGAATGAGTGAATGAACGAACGGATGAATAATTAATACCTCCTTGCAGTGTACAGTAACTTAAGTAATTTGATTAATGCCATCCACATTCTATTATACAAACAGTGTACATAAGTAAATTATGTTTGTGTGTGTGTGTGTGTGCGTGAGTATGTGTGTGTGTGTGTGCGTGTGTGTGTGAGTAGTTTTTTTAAATTCTTTTTGTCTATAATCCTAAGGCTGACGGCTTAAAACAAATAGTTTATTTTCCTTTAGTTTCACAGAGAAAAAAATTGAAAAAAAAACAAAAAAAAATAGTAAAAGAATAAAAACACAATAAACCGGAAATGGTCTTCTGTTTTTTGATCACGTGATGGTACACGTGGTGATTAGGAAAACTATAAATAACGCACGATTGCTTTTTCAGCGACCAATGAAAAGTCTTTGATGTCACTCTTCTGATGATCATGATGATGATGACGGTGATAGTAATGATGATGATGACGGTGATAGTAATGATGATGATGATGATGATGATGATGATGATGATGATGATGATGATGATGATGATGATGATAAGAAAGATGATGATGATGATGATAAGAAAGATGATGATGATGATGATGATGACGGTAGCGAGGAGGAAAAGTATGACGATGATTTTTCATCAAGTTAAGTTCACTCTTTATGTCCGCAGTAACAAGTCTTTGTTCGTTCGTTTGTTTGTTCACTCGTTCATTCATTCGTTCATTCATTCATTCATTCATTCATTCTTTCATCTGTTCAATCATTTTTAACATACAATTTAACTTATTATTTTAAACATTCACTCACTCGCTCATTCAATCAATTCACACTTTCATTACGAGAACTAAAATTCATTAACTTCTCGATTTACTACTATTTCACTCAATCTCTCTCTCTCTCTCTCTCTCTCTCTCTCTTTCACTTTTCTTTTTTCTCCCTCTTTCTCTTTTTTTCTCTCTTTTATATACATATATCAATATATATATGTATATATATAATGATGACACCTAGTGAATGATGAATGGACGAAAATTAATCCCCAGGTCAGTATTAGTGCGTGCACATTTTGTGTTGGTTTATATCTCTCTCTTTCTCTCTCTTTTTATCTCTCTCTCTCTTTATCTTTTTTTTTCTTTCTTTCTATCTCTATCTTTCTCACCATATAAAATTGTGTATATGTGTGTGTGTGTGTGTGTGTGTGTGTGTGTGTGTGTGTGTGTGTGTGTGGGCAAATTTTAAGAAACCTCACCGATCGGCTCATCTAAAACCTGGTCTGATCCTGGACAAACATTCGGTCGAAATTTGGCATTCAACTTGGGTCATCTTTAAAGGCCAAATAGCCGAATGCTGCAGCGTTTGTCTAAGTCTTCCCAGATAAAAAGTAATTGTGCACATATAAACCTGGTCTGATCCTGGACAAACATTCGGTCGAAATTTTGCGTTCAACTTGGGTCATTTTTAAAGGCCAAATAGCCGAATGCTGCAGAAAGAGAAAGAAAGAGAGAGAGAAAGAG